ACTGTCTGCAAAACAGAGTCTATGGCCAGTCAGGGGTAGTTCAGTCATTTCTCGGGCTACAGTGGTCCAAACGATCTGAAATTTTGCAGGTAGATAGCTAACTCATATATGCACAACTTTCATGTTTTGAGCAAAAGCTGGTTCGGTCTAGAGCACAGAGAAAACGGCAGTCCAAATTCAGTCCAGAAACAGGGAAAAACTGAAATCACCCTTCTTGAACCAACCTTTGCATATAACCATCACTAATCACAATTAAGGCTAAAAATCCCCACTTAACATGAGACTAGCCTATACTAATCATGTACATGCCAAAACAAGGATGAATTAACTTAGACCAAGTTGAGAAATATCACTAATATGGAACCTTAGCAGCCCATCTTCCAATTCATAAGAATTTCCATAAAATTCATCAAGATCAACTCAAACTCATAACAATCAAAGTTTGGACAGCACTTCTCCCTTAATTTTCCTTATTCCATTGTATAATACATCACCCATGACATTTCAATCAATCACAATTATACATGTAACTCACAAGCCATTAACTACATCTAATTAGGGTCTCCATACCCTTCATATATAGTCACATAAAAGCTCAACAACCAACCATAATAAAAACCCCCAATTCAAAACCCTAAAATCGAAATTTATTCCCACAAGCGTAAATTTTCCGTAGACGATCGTAATTAACGCACAAAGGCTCCATTTCACAACATATTAAACTACCATTCCATGACTAACCAACAATAACCAAATAAAATCAGAAAATTCCCCAATAAATCAGAAATTGGTCCAATTCTACTTAAAATCAGGAAATCATCCACAAATAGCATATATAACATCCCTAATCCACCTTAACGCTAAGATAACTTCTACTAATCAGACACATACCAAATCAAGGATGAAATAACTTAAATAAAATCTAGAAATTAGCAAATGTCATCATCTCACTTCTAAATCACAAAAATAACAATAACTCATCAAGATCAATAGCTTAATCACAAGATTTATAGCAAAAAGAAGGCCTCTAAGGATGATACCTTTCAACACCTTGAACAAGCAAAAACAAACCCTTTTTCTTCCCAAAACTTTCCACCCTTAGCTTGCTATCACCTTGCATGTGAAGTTAATCGGAGTAGATTATCGAAATTAGAAGAAACCCCTCAAGATTGATGAAGGAAATCAAAGGAAGAGAAAAGGATTTTCTCTCTTGTTTTTGCTCCCCAAGAGGCTCGGTCAATTGGAAATGAAGAAAAATGGGTTTTGAACCCCTCAAATATAGCCAAAAGTGAAGACTTAATCGCTAAGAAAAGCTGACCACGACAGAATCTGGCCGGATTTCCGGCCGGATTCCTGGCAGGATTCAGGCCAGAGACGAAAGCCCCTTTTTTTTCAAAATGCACAACCAATCCAGCCGGCAATCCGGCCAAGAACTGGCCGGATTTGCGGCCGGATTTGGTCCTGCCAAGTTCCATCAAATTTTCCTCGTTTCATTTCCTTTCGGGCGTCACATTTAACAATTTGATATTTGTGAAATAAAAAGGTAGTTGGAAAAAAAAAAATAAAAGTTAGGAATTTCAAAAACCTCCCCTGAGGTTTTTGACTATTTCATTGACCTCCCTCCCGATTTTACACTAACTTTCATTGAGATTTATTATCTTGTAATATTTAGATCCAACTAATGATTAAAAAATGATATTAAGAGAGACCAGATAATATGATTCCACCATTACCCCTTATCTGCTAAATATTTAATTAATCTAATACCCATCCAAATATTAAAGCAAACACTGTAATTTGCTGTTTATCATCAGGGATTAAATTACATGTGACATCAAAAATGCTATATCATTCTTTATATTTTACTTAATGTAATATCTACCAATTCCGTTATTGAATTCTAAACTGGCTAGGGGAATTACTACATTTAATTATTAAGGGTATAAATATCTTTTTGATATTACCATTACACAACATGAGACTCAACTAACGATTTTGCACCAACCACAACAACAGCAACAAACATCTACCCCAGGCCCGAGTGAAAAGACTTGTCCATCAACTCGTAGCAGGAAAACTTCAACTTGGAAACCACTCACTGATGTAGAAAAAGGAGCCATAAATGCTAATCATGCATATTTGGGTAAGGAGCCACCGTACACAGTTGGTTCTTGGAGAGGAAAGTGGAGTGGAAGAGGTAGAGGGAGAGGAGGACAAACCACAAAAGATAAGGGACGGGGAAGAGCTAATTAAAGAGGAGCAACAGTCAAGAACTGATTGAAGAGGGACCTCTAATCACATTTTTTGCCAACTGTTTGAATGTAATTAACAAACAAGAATAGATTTAATAGATAAGATAAAGTAATTGAAGTAAATCTCTTGATTCTTATCAAATTAAGCATTCAGTTACGATTCTTGTGCTGAAAAAAATACATACAAATTTAGCACCACTTAATAAGTTCAGCAGAAAAATTTTTATTGATCAAACATCCAAAACATCTGAATGTCTGAATGAATTCAATTTCAACACTTTTTTATGTTATCAAACAGACACTAACTCTAACTTTGGAGAACAGGGTTCGATTGGCGGCAAATCTCATCAATCATCGCATTGAAACATGCCAGATTACCAATAATCCAGGTTAGCGTACGTGGTAAAAACAAAATCCGGAAGAGATAGGGCTGCAATTGAGGTAATGTATGTACGTACACGTGCGTGCGAGCAAGATCCGGACAGCCGACGTGCAAATTGGATCAAAGCCTGCAACATAACAAGGGACAAACCTATCACAGTGGGGATATTCCCCAAGTGTAACTTCGATGCTTTAAGTTAGAAAAGATAAAAAGGTGCCAAGGTGGACAAAAAGGACGGGAGTAGTATCAGTTACTACCTGGGCGGAACGGAACGAGGGATATTTAAATTAGTGATGGAGAGAGAGAGAGAGAGAGGAGTAAAGGGAACTAGATCTGTAGGCTATCCTGTCTGGAAACCGATTGTGTTGTAGAATGCAAGATGAGCCAAGCAGCCGATTAGGAGAGAGGATTGATTTTTTTTTTTTTGAAACCACAACTATTCTATAACCTATATATCCTAGATTAGGAGAGAGAAGGAGTCTAAAGATACTTGTGTTAAGGGCTAGCAGATACACATACATTATTAAACAAAGAAAGTGTTATGACACAACTCTTAGATTTTTTTTTTTGCTGCAGGTGGGATTTGAACCCCTACCTATAGCTCAAACAGGGTCTTAAAACCCATTTTGGTGACCACTGAACTAAGTTGAGTGATTACATACCTATCTAGGGATGTGAAAAGGTGATTTTCGGATGACTGGACCGAGTCAAGGAATTCACCTGTCAAATCTACACAAATTGTACGGGGCTTTGTCCTCCGATTCCACTCCAACATCAAGTCAGTTCGAATACCCAATTGCAAACTAAAAGCAAGATATTAAGAATCTCTAGTATGTGTGTATATGGGTGCGTGTGTTTTTTCCTACGGATGAAAGGGTATTTATAGTAAACAATACGGTGGGGGGGCGATCTGATGAGTTCCAATTCTCGTGAACCTTACGCTGACAGTGTCAGATTTAGGCCTAATGGAGATGACATAGTGGTAATCATGTCATTCTGTCACGTCATTCAGTCATGTACTAGTCAGTTTTTCCAGTGGGATGTCAGATATCAAGGGCGAAAATAGAAGGCGGAGCCAAGGTGAAACCTCCTCGGGGAGACGGAGGCCAACCCTATGGGATGAGGCAATGACCCGAGGTGGTATGGGACTAGCGAATGTCACCTCGCCCAATCGCGAAATCGAGGATGGACGAGGTTAATGCCCTCAGGGTGCAATCCAACTAAGCTACTTGTCAGTTGCTTGCGAATATCTTGATCAACTGCTTAACTTGATTTAGCGTTAATCGAACTTGAGTTGAGGTCGAGCATGCTCGATTATTTAAACGAGCCGAGTTCATCTATTAGAATGTTATAATCAGCGAGCTTAATCAATTAGTATAATTATTTAATTATTTTATCGTTATTCAAATCACAAAGAAAAAAACTTGTTAGAAAATAACTACAATGCCATGCTTTAAAACAATTGTTCCTACGAGTATTCTTTTTCTCTGACAATTGTTGCTAGTTTTCTTTTTTTGGAATTTTCTTTGTTTCATTGTGTGATTTTATGATTAAAAATCTGTATTTTTCATGTAATGTTTTCTTGTTTCATTTGATATTCTTAAGATTAGAAAGTTGTATATTGTTGATTTGTATTTAGTTGAATCTGGATTTTTGGACTGTGTTAAATTTTGTTGGAAAATCTAGAACTTAGTTTGGAATTGAGTATTTGGTCTTTCTGGAAAATATTTGAATACTAAGTTTTGAAAATCAAGTTCGATTAAACTTGAGATTTTACGAGCCCAAATGAGTTGAGCTTGAACTTTTATAAATCTAAGTGAGTTGAACTCAAGCTTGAAGAGACATGCTCATTCGAGTAATGTTGAATTACATCAAATTCGACCTCGAGTATAGTGCTATTTGTGCTCGACTAGATTCATATACACCCATTAAACAAGGTTATGCTAGTGAGAAGGCCTAAAATCTCTGTGTGCCACTTTTTGTTTCATTTTTTTATTATATTGCTATTTTTCCTTCATAAACATCATATTGCTATCACATTAGAATTGTAATTGTGGAATATCCAATTAATACTAAGTCCCTTTTTTTTTCTCCCATTGTAAATCGTAGAACCTAACTTTTACAATTAATCTATATTAATTTCCAGAATTAGGGAATTGAAGAAAAAGATAGGTAAGTGAGTTCTAATTTTCTAGCTTTGATTAGCGGATTTAGAATAAACACCCTGTCGTGCTGGCTCAGCTCAGCAAGAGGCAACTTTCTTTAAAAAAAAAAAAAAAAAAGCCCAGACCAACAATTGACCGATTTTCCTTTTTTTTTTTTTTCCATCGATAATTTAAGGAATTAGCCTGGGCCTGTACCCGGCCGCAGCTGCGGTAGAGTGAGCGCAATGGAGAGAGATGCTAGACTAGAGAGTAGAGACCTCTCGCAACTTCCCTGGCAATGTGGTTTTCCAATCCAGTCTAGAGGCTCTCTCTCCCCATCATCCCAATCATAAGATGATTCGCCGGACTTCTTATCGGCATCAGTTCGTATACCAAAACCTTCTCCTGTCCTTCCCCACAAATACATTACTATTTCCTCCCCTCAGCTTTACTAGATTGGGATGCCCCAAGCATGCATTTGGACGTCTTTGTTTCCTCCCGGTGAAACAGGACTTTAATTGCTACAATCTCATGAGCCTGCATCTTCATCAATTCCAGGGCATATACAAATAAAAGTTTTCAAGTACTAGCTAGCGGTATGGTCACGCAGCTAATGAAAGTAAATACTTCACCCTTGCCTTTTTCACTTCCACCCGTTTGCTCTATTGCCTCAACTGGAATTTTTCCCTGTATTTCTTTGTATTATAATTTATTTACACAATGCACTTTGCTTTCTACGTTCTATAAAAGAAAAATAGATGAAACATTTTGGACTTCCGTTTGCCAGTAAACTAGCATTCATTCACTCTTAAGAATAATAACGGCGACACCATGGGCATGGTAAAGGTTGCTCATTTATTCCCTCCAATTTCGCCTGCTATTTATACGTGTGTGGTGGGCTGCCACTATTTTAAGAGGAAGTGAGGTAGAATTAAAGCCCTTCCGATGATTTTTTTTTTGGGTTGATTTAAGAAGAGTTTGGTGCTTTCCAGGCCAGAGCTGCTGCTTGCTTCACATTCTTTGTCTTTCTCCATTGTAGTGTAAGAAAAGTCCTGAAGAATTTGCTAATGAACCAGATGCAGAAGCGGCCCTCTATAATGGTTTTAACTTGATTGTTGATCATCTTTGATCAATGTCCATGCTCTACATCACCAACTGCCAAAAGACAGCGGCATTATTGCTACACAGTTTCTCCTGCTATTCATGTCTTGTCTAATGCAAAACTCTGACAGGCCAGCCCATGCCCTAAGGTTAGTTTGAATATTCTCTGATACTTGCTTGTTACTCGTATTTCATTTTCTCGTACCCAAAGTCGAGGGGATACATCTTCACCAAATTATTAACTTATCTGAAGCAGAATCTTCTCCCTCTCAAGCTAATAGTACAAGGCTATATATCTTTTCAGTTTGGATTATTCCCTGATTTCTTCAGCTGGTCTTTAAAAAAAAAAATTCACTGCTGAATTTTTACAGCAAAAGTTTGAAGTATAATATTTTCCTTGGGCAGTATCATGCCATGATTTTAAGTAGTGAAACAGAAGCAGCAATATGTTTAAGGGCATTATCTAATACTTAGAATAAGCTTGATGCTGGAACAAAGTATTGACATGTATTCCTGTCGAAGGAAAGTAGATAGTAACGCTTGTGAAATATCATGTGAACAGAATTTTTGCTATAACTATATATACATGTTATCTTGAAAGAGATTTGCAAAACAGTTTGATCAGGAACGGACGAAGCTTTGAACAGTTGTGGACATTTCAGGCAAAAAGGCAGTTGAATTAGGAGATTTCCTTGGGGCATGTTTGTGTTCTAAATTTTAGTCTCTTCGTTGAAGTTATTTTCAATTTTCACGCATATTGTCATTTTTATAGTCCCGCAATCAAAGCAACATTCTACTTTGCATGTTTATTAGACCATAAGTTTATATCACTGCAGGCTGAAAGATTGGAGCAAAGTTTCAAGGATCCAATGGATAATATGGCGAAGGAGAGGTTCCCTTAAAAGAGACGTCTAAAAAGTTAATGCATGGCACCACTAAATGTTTTCTGGACTGGGACTATCATTTGAGTTCCATATTTGTTGATGCTGATTTGCCTATGTTAATCTCGCTCTCTCTCTCTCATGCCCTCGGGCTCACAAGTTGTGTACGTGCATGCTAGTGTTCATGTGAATGACCATTGAAACATGTCTTTTTGCGTATGCTGAAGAATATCTCAATGCGCTCAAAGATTCTTTAATTTATGTTTAATGCACAGGGACGTTATGGTACTAGAAGTACGTCTGCATTGACTATGAATACAAGTGGGAACATGCCATTTTTTGAAAAGTATCTTGATGCAGACTTGTTGAAGACGCAGACCATCAGCTTCCAGATTAGGCAAGAAAAGATGACATTGTGTCCTCTATCAAGAATGTTAAAACTAAACAAACCTGTAACACATATAGGTAAATCTACTTTACAATACTTGTATCTACAGCAAAATAGTTGTGTTCATCCTGTTTTTTGTTGTTCCTTTTTCATTATTCCGTCCATATTCTGAACATGTGAATAAACCTCTCAGTTAATATGCCCTGTTTGAAGATTGTTTGGGGATGAACTAACTTGAAGCATATGAAGTCTCTCAGATTTCAGAACTTTGTCACCCTATGGCACCAACATGCTCTTTTTTCCTAGTTTAGCTAGTTGATTTTAAAGAGGCTTCTAGGCTGGCTTACATAATTCAAAAATGTTAAAACCAGTCAGTTGCGGCTCCAAGAGTTTCAGAAGAACTAGTAACATCCATAGCTGGTGCCCCACTGGCTGCAAATTTTCAAGAAGCAAGCTGGCTGAGATGCATAACTTAACTCTAGCGTAACTTGTGTTCTAATGCTCTATTTGCTGTATTTTCTTTTCTTGAGTGCCCATTCCATGAACAGAAGGACCTCTGTTCCTAAAAGAAAGAAGCATGTGAACAGAGAAAAACTTTCACTACTTCCTCTCAGTATAGCAAGTAAAAGATTAATTCAATTGCAATGGAAAACAGTACAGATGAACAAAACATGGAGGAGGAACTCCTGCTGCTATTGGTTGTTTTGATTCCTGAAATTAGTTAATGGTTGGATGTTTCTCAAGGCTAGTATCCTGAAAAAGGAGGCACCTTTTTCAAAGGTAATTTGCACTTATTTTTTTTTTCTCTCTCTTGTGTTCCTTGACATTCAATTTAATATGGGTCTCAGTAGTAATATCTCACTTCAGCATATTAGTAATTAAATTCAATAATGTGTTCTTAATTTCTTATTTTGAGCTTTTGTTGCTGGAAATCTGGACCTTTGTCTTTCGTGTTTTGGTTTACTGGTCTTTTAGCTGATTTTGATTTTAGGGTTTGAACAAGTATCTGACTGCAGGGGACCAGCTATGACGTGGTAAATTAAAAATTGAAGGTTTATCACCATCTTTGTGCTCATAATTTCTAGCATTCCCTACCTTCTTTTCCTCTGCAAAACATCTGACAAAATGCTTCAATGTGCTCGCATTTGTCTCCCAATTTTATCGAACGGTCTCATATATTTTATTAGAGCAGTTCCTGTTTGGATCGGGAATGTTTTGACATTAAGTTCTGTCTGAGTTTGTCATAATATTTTGGGAAAAATGTTGTTGTTAATATGGAGTGTGTTTGGATTGTAAGTTATTTGAAATATTTTTACTGTAGCACTTTTTGTGATGTGATGTATGTGAGATAAAAAAGTAATTGGAAAGATAAAAAGGTGTATTGGAAATTGTAATGGTGATGTCAGCAAATATATTTGGCCAAATAATTGGCTGTCCAAACACACTCATGATTACTACCTGATAGATTAACAAGTACGGACACATATAACCCTGATCAAATCGCAGAGGAGAAGGCAAAAAAAAAAAAAAAGCTTAAGAGTTCGGATTTACCAAGATTTTAATTGTTTGCAGTTTCTAGGTACTGACGTAACAATAATATGCTTGGTGAATTCTAGACCGTTAAACCGATAGCTCTGGCCAGGTTGTTTTGCAGTTAAATAGGATGCAGGCTTCTTCACGTCAAAAGTTTAGATAGCCTATTTTACTCTGCTACCTATTTTATTCTGCAACGTTGACAAGTCACCTGGCTTGAAATGTCCAGAAGCTGCAATGCAATTATGTAACAATTTCGGGAACTATTAAACTTTTGAATTATGACCAAGATCTGTGGTGCTGAGACAGTAGTGTGTCAGAAACCCATTTCTTCTCATATAGTAATTCAGAAACTGGCGGACGACGTCATTGGTGGCGCTACATGACATGACTAAGAGACGTCGTTTCATATACATTTAACTGCTAAAGTCTTCTCTGTTGGACTAAGATGATGCTACTGTTGTTTGGAAAGGACATGATGGCCTTTCAATGGGCGGGGGGGGGGGGGCGTACGATGTTAGAACAGAACATATCGTAGGACATGGACTTGAAGAACTTCCCAATTGTTTGCAAAGTTAGTCTCGCTTGTTATCATCATCATACGCGTATGGGAGGATCAGTTTTGTCAAAATGTGTGTGTGTGTTTCGACTTTTAGTTTGTCAGGCCGTTCGATACGGATACCTACTCGAGAGAGCCTCGAATTTGTCCTTTCGAGCCATTTTCTGCCAAACACCTTTAGTTGCTTACTTTTGAGTAAACGCGTTCCTGTTTGAGAATAAACTAATAAGCAAAAAAATTCATATGAAGTAATTTCATATGATATTAACAGAAATGAATTGGATTTTCAAGCGTGTGAAATTTGTCATGCAGCGTCTCATCATCGAAGAAAAGAGTGAGAGGTGATATTTGACAGTAATATGCTATGCTAGACTGGTTTTGGTTGTCACGACACAGCAGTAGCTCTGCTGGACATGATGGCACTCGTCCGTCTCCATGTTTATTACTACACTAGATTGATTGGTGGGCCCTCTTATTAGCTGTTGCTCACCAAGGTTGGTTCAATAAAGTCCGGTGGCCCATGTTGAATCATCTGGTCTGAACGGTGGCGAGAAGCAGCTCGCTGCACAGAATTAACTCAACAAGTTCGACGGAGCACGCTCTTTGATATAATAATTAGATTATTCTTATTTCTACTAATTCCTCAGATATTATAAATTTTTTTTTAGTAGATTAGAATAGATTAAATTATAAAATTATTATTATTATTATTATTTATAAAAAAAAAAGAAAAAGTAGCAGCTTGGACACACACAACAAAGAGAGGTTAGACAAGCGTTGCAGTCGTTTGGCACTTGATGCAGTTCTCCTACTTATTAGTACTGATCTTCCATCACAGCTGCCGCTTGCCCCCCCCACACGCCGCGACCAGTCTGTAACATTTGTCTCCAAAGCGAGTTATCCCTCTCCTCCTTCCCCCCCCCCCCCCCCTTCTTTCCAGGAGGACCCATTGCCCTTCATTGCGCCATGCGTCGGCAACCAACCCAAAAAACCTTTGGTGACTCCATATTTATATATTTATAATACTAAGAAAACAAAAAAGACAATCACAATGTTGAAATAGTACCGGCGGATTTGTTTGGATAGGGTATTATTTGAAATATTATTTAAAATAATTACTGTAATACTTTTTGTGATGTGACGTATACGAAATAAAAAGGTGATTGAAAATATAAAAAGATGAATTGAAAAATGTATTTATGATGCAAGCGAAATATTATTTGAGATATTATTTGAATAAAGTAATTTAATTAAACTAGATCGACTTGAATCCTTAATCTGACCCACAGTTTCGGGTGGCGAGAAAGCCAATAAAATTCTCCGGCATGCCTTGCTACTCTCCTCACAGTTACTACTGCTACTGCTTGGTACGGCGGAGCATCACAGAAAACATCACGAAAGAAAATATCATGAAAGAAAATATCATGAAATCGCACTCTACTAGTACCATATATTTTGCCTCTTTATACATACATCTACCTGTGATTAATAACAGAAAAAGGATCCCCAGCAGCTAAACCACCAAAAAAAAAAAAAAAAAAATCAATAATCCCATCTTCATCTTTGTAACCCACCGTCATTTCGCAATTCATGATAGTCGCCAGTGTTGAATGATAATGGAACTCCCCGGCAGGCAGGAAGGCGGCGGGCAAATCAAGAAAGAATGAATGTAGACACTACCAGACTGACTTAAAAAGAATAGTACGCCAAAAAACTGTAGCAAAGTGCTACTGACTGCTACTGCAGTTGTAGTAGTAATGTCTACTACAACTCTACATAGGATAGGAGCGAGTACAATTGCAGAGGAGAGGAGAAGACGGGACTCGCCTCTCCGGGACTCCTAGTCCAACGCATTCGGACCGGCACAGGCCTTCAAAACAGGACTCCAGATCCACTGCACCAAAAACTTCCTACCCCTCCTCCCCTTCACGTTGTACGTCCTTCCCTCTCTGTCCCTCATCACCTGCCCGATGTACCCACCCCCGCCCCCCGTCCCGTACAGCCCCTCGCACAGGTCCCCGATCTCCGTCGGCGCCGTGGGGTCCTCCCCCGCGTACCACGCGTTCACCAGCGGGTTCGATGCCAGCTCCGCCAGCTCGTGCCCGATCACGCTTATCATCCCGTCCACCCCCACGTCCGCATTCGGAGGGGCCAGCGCTCCCGGCCCGCCTCCCCCCATGTACCCGGGCACGGCGAACGGGTACGCGCACACCTCCGGGCACTGCTTCCCGGAGTTGCCCACCCAGGCGTACGGCAGCGTGTAGCCCACCACGGACGGGAAGGTGAAGTAGTGGAAGCCGCATACGGCCCGGCAGAAGTCCTGGACGGTGACGTCCCCGGAGGTGAGGATGAGATAGATGCCGTTCTTGTGGTCGACGGGGAAGGGCTTGGATCGGACCGCTGCAGCGATGACCTGCTGCATGGAGAGGCGGGTGAGGTGGGTGCCTTGGGAGCAGCGGGTGTCGGAGTACTCGCCTGCGACGAGGACGGAGCTGGAGATGTTGGCGCCGGTCTGGTCGGTGTAGAGGGAGACGGTGCGCCACCACTGGGAGACGGAGGGGGAGGGAGCGGCGCGGCGATCGGAGGTGGAGATGGAGAGGAGGAAGTCCTTGATGAGGAGCTGGTGGGAGGCGGCCCAGCGGCCGTACCAGATGAGGTAGATGTTGATCGGGGAGGAGAGGACGGGGCCCATGTGGTAGCGAAGGTCGACCAAGTCGGAGGAGCCCTCAAATTTCTTGGAGGCGGAGAGGGACTTGGGGGGAAGCTTTGGGTTGAAGTAGGAGTCCGATTGTGTTTGGAGAGTCTGCTGCTTAGCCGAGGAATTGGAGGCGGCAGCAGCATTGTTGAAGGGGACGATGAGGAGGAGGAGGAGAAGAAGCAGCGGCAATAGTGTCTGTGCTCCTCCTCCTCCTCTTACTGCTGTTTTAATCAACATTTTTGCGTGTAAATTTTTTTTATAAAATAAAGTCACTTTCCTCCTCCGGGAGGGGAATAAAAGTATAGCGCCAGAAATGGAAATGGTTGAGGCGGGGGAAGGGGACTGGGAAGAGGAGGGAACAGCGGTAGGGAAGCAAGGGGGAAGTTTGCGTTTGCCGCGAGTGAGGAGAGGGTTTCTCTGATCTGTGAATTTATAGGAAAGGGAGAAGGAAGTCCCTACTCCGATTTCTGAAACTCTCCAAGAAAGTTCTTTTTTTTTTTAAAAAAAAAAAAGTGTGTATTAGGACAGTACAGTAGTGTCGCACACACAAAAGTGTGGGTGTGTGTGTGGGGATCTCTCTGCGCTGTGGTTTGGGAGGGAAATGGGCTGGTGACAGCTATTATCAGAGGGATTTCGATTTCAATTCATTTTATGTGGGCACGGGCACAGCAGTCGAGTACCGACCGGTGTCAATTGCGCTTTTTGGGTCAGATTTTAATAAATTTAAACTCGGCTCACAAATTATATGAATTGTCCGATATTGAGCTTTTGGACTTTAAGCTCACCTTAAATTGAGATTGATCCAAAGTCATAATTAAATGCATAATTATATATAGAATTAAATGCAAAAAAGCCTCACGAATTTATTGCACTAGTTGCATTTTGCATCCTAAATTATTTAATAGGCACTTTACACCCCCTTAGTCAATTAGAAAACAGTAAGAAAATTAACTCCATCCAAATAATTGATGCAATGGCCCATTTATCATCCACTAAAAGCTTGTGTAAAGTGACAAAAATGATTTTTTGGCAAGGAAAATTGTCACCTTAAATGGATTAATTTT